AGGACGGGGCACCGGCCCCAAGGAAACTGTCGGGACCACCGGGGAGCACCAGGGACCCCGCATCGAAATAATCACGACGTCGGACCCCTGGAGCCTTCGGTGAAGCTTCCTGTAAGGCCATGCGGTCAAAAAGCGTGCGAGGGGTGTGCCGACATGGGTGTGACGGACGCATGTGGACGCAGTTGTAATTATCATCTTCGGTGGAGCTCCCTATGGGGCCACGAAGCGTGTGAAGGGTGTGCCGAATTGGGTGTGCGTGACGCATGCGGGCGGTGGCACTAGGGCCTTCGGTGGAGCTCCCTATGGGGCCACAAAAACGTGTGAGGGGTGTGCCGACTTGCGTGTGTGTGTGTGTGTGTGTGTGTGTGTGTGCGTGTGTGTGTGTGTGTGACGCATGCGGGCGGTGGCACTGGGGCCTTCGGTGGAGCTCCCTATGGGGCCACGAAGCGTGCGAAGGGTGTGCCGAATTGGGTGTGCGTGACGCATGCGGGCGGTGGCGCTGGGGCCTTAGGTGGAGTTCCCTATGGGGCCACGAAACGTGTGAGGGGTGTGCCGACTTGGGTGTGAGTGACGCATGCGGGCGGTGGCACCGGGGCCTCCCTATGGGGCCACGAAGCGTGTGAGGGGTGTGCCGGCTTCGGTGTGCGTGACGCATGCGGGCGGTGGCATTGGGGCCTTAGGTGGAGCTCCCTATGGGGCAACGAACCGTGTGAGGGGTGTGCCGAATTGTGTGTGTATATGTGTGTGACGCATGCGGGCGGTGGCACTGGGGCCTTACGTAGAGTTAATTCCTTATGGGGCCACAAAAACGTACGGGGGGTGTCCAACATGGGGCGGCGCCGCCATGCGCACTGCGCCATTGGACCTTAGGTGGAGCTCCCTGTGAGGCCACGAAACGTGTGAGGGGTGTGCCAAATTGGGGGGCGGCGCCATTCGAACTGCGCCACTGGGACCTGATGTGGGGCTCCCTATGGGGCCACGAAGCGTGCGAAGGGTGTGCCACAATGGGGCGGCGGCGCCCTGCGGGCTGCGCCACTGGGATCTTGAGTGGAGCTCCCTATGGGGCCACGAAGCGTGTGAGAGGTGTGCCAAAATGGGGCGGCGGCGCCATGCGGCTGGTGGCACTGGGGCCTTAGGTGGAGGGCCACGACGCGTGTGAGGGGTGTACCAAAATGGGGCGGCGGCGCCATGCGGGCGGTGCCACTGGGACCTTCGGTGGAGTTCCCCATGGGGCCACGAAGCGTGGGAGGGGTGTGCCGAAACAGAGACATGCGGGGAGCAAAGGCAAGGAGGGGGAAGAGGGAGGAGGGATAATGAGGAGGAGGAGGCGGAGGAGGAAGGAAGAAAGAGGAAGAGGAGGAGGAGGAGAACGCGGGGCACCGTCCCTGGGATCGGCGCGTTCCCCGTTGAATTCCGAATGAAAAATTATCCTGGCAAAGGACCCAACCATATGCAGTTGTGAATACCGCAATTCTGAATCTCATCTTTGCCCGCCCTCCCTATGGGGCCACGAGCCGTGTGAGGGGCGTGCCGAAATGCGTGGCGGGGCACACAACGCGAGCGAAGACGATAGGTCTGTGTGCGAGAGACTGAGCGCGAGTGAGTCTGACTGTGAATAAGTCTGCGTGCGAATCAGTCTACGTGCATAAACGTCGACGCCCATGTCGGCACGCTCCTCCCGAGGATCGCGCCCGCTTCCTTCCCGTTCTTTTTGTCTCTCTTTGCCCGTGCACGCCCATGTCCGAGGCTGCGGGCGCGGCGCCGCACGGAGTCCCCGCGACGCACGCCAGTCGCCCCGAAGGGGTCCCATGAACCACGTCTTGTTCTTCGGCCTGGCCGCCGTCGCTGCAGTCGCCGCGAGGACGATAGGACGCGAGGGAGGGACGGCGGCGGCGGCGAGAACGACGTCGGTGACGCGAAGAAATCGTCGTGCCGCCCGTCGCTCTCTCGGGGCGGGGCCACCGGGACCAGCAGAACTCAACCGAGGACGGGGAACCGGCCCCAAGGAAGCTGTCGGGACCACCGGGGAGCACCAGGGACCCCGCATTGAAGTAATCACGACATCGGATCCCTGGAGCCTTCTGCGAAGCTTCCTGTAAGGCTATGCGGTCAAAAAGCGTGTGAGGGGTATGCCGACATGGGTGTGGCGGACGCATGTGGACGCAGTTGTAATTATCATCTTCGGTGGAGCTCCCCATGGGGCCACGAAACGTGTGAAAGGTGTGCCGAATTGGGTGGGCGGTGGCACTGGGGCCTTCGGTGGAGCTCCCTATTGAGCCACGAACCGTGAGGGGTGTGCCGACTTGTGAGTGTGTGTGTGTGTGTGTGTGACGCATGCGGGCGGTGGCACTGGGGCCTTCGGTGGAGCTCCCTATTGAGCCACGAACCGTGAGGGGTGTGCCGACTTGTGAGTGTGTGTGTGTGTGACGCATGCGGGCGGTGGCACTGGGGCCTTCGGTGGAGCTCCCTATGGGGCCACGAAGCGTGTGAGGGGTGTGCCGACTTCGGTGTGCGTGACGCATGCGGGCGGTGGCACCGGGGCCTTAGGTGAAGCTCCCTATGGAGCCGCGAACCGTGGGAGGGGTGTGCCGAATTGTGTGTGTGTGTGTGGCGCGTGCGGGCGGTGGCACTGGGGCCTTAGGTGGAGCTCCCTATGGGGCCACGAACCGTGTGAGGGGTGTCCCAAATGGGGCGGCGGCGCCATGCGGGCGGCGCCACTGGGACCTTACGTGGGGCTCCCTATGGGGCCACGAAACGTGCGAAGGGTGTGCCAAAATGGGGCGGCGGCGCCATGCGGGGTGCGCCACTGCGACCTTAGGTGGAGCTCCCTGTGCGGCCACGAAACGTGCGAGGGTTGCGCCAAATTGGGCAGCGGCGCCATGCGAACTGCGCCACTGGGACCTTACGTGAGGCTCCCTATGGGGCCACGAAACGTGCGAAGGGTGTGCCAAAATGGGGCGTGACGCATGCGAGCTGCGCCACTGGGATCTTAGGTGGAGCTCCCTATGGGGCCACGAAACGTGTGAGGGGTGTGGCAAAATGGAACGGCGGGCCATGCGGGTTGCGCCACTGGGACCCTAGATGGAGCTCCCTGTGGGGCCACGAGACGTGCGAGGGTTGTGCCAAAATGGGGCGGCGGCTCCATGCGGGCTGCGTCACTCTGCGACCTTAGGTGGAGCTTCCATATGGAGCCGCGAAGCGTGTGAGGAGTGTGCCAAAATGGGGCGGCGGCGCCATGCGGGCTGCGCCACTGGGACCTTAGATGGAGCAAAGTAAAAAAATTTGCGAAGCTGGGACTGGCGCATTTCCTAGTCAATTCAACTGGGAAGAAGCACATACAATATTCGTGAAAGGGGCTGAAGATGAATGACATGCCGAAATGCGCCTCCTCTGGAACGCACACGAATCGTCATCATCGTCGTTGCGTCGAGCGTGCTTTAATTTACTGCGCAAGAAGCACACACAGGCCAAGGAACGCCCAATGACGCAATACTAGTCATCGTCGTGATAGTTGGGAACCCGTTTCTGTAAGAATAAACATGATCGTAGTCGAAGACGTGACAGTAAACATTGCAATAGGCGTAATGCCATTTTTTGTCAAACTGGTAGCCGTGGTGGTTGTAGGAGCGACAGTAATAATGGTGGTAATAATGAGATCACCCGTCGCAGTAATAGTCGTAATGGTGTTTCTAAGTAAACTGACAACCGGACTGGTCGTGGTAGTCGTACTGCTAGCACTCGTGATAGCAGTAGTAGCTGGTTGCTGTAGCAATTATAAGCATAATCCCGTTAGTAATTTTGAAAGTAATAGATATACGATGTGCGGTAGCAGTCATCGTATCAACGCCAAAGTTCAGGGAGGACGTGGGTAAGGATGAGAAGGGAAATCAGAAGCAGCAGACAAGGTACGAGCAAGACAGGGGGTGGATGAGAATGTATGAGCGCGAAAGAAGAGATGATGATGTTGATGCTGATGCTGATGCTGATGCTGATGATGCTGATGATGCTGATGATGATGCTGATGATGATGATGATGATGATGATGATGATGATGATGATGTGTCTGGCAGGGAGGAGGATCTGTAGTAGTCGCGGCACGTGGAGGACAAGGGGGGCAAGAACAGGTGACACATCACGACGGAGATGACGATTAACATGAGGAGGAGAGAAACTGAGGAGGCCACAGCAGAAACTGGCGAGGAGGGGACAGTGATGGGGCAGGGAGGGAGGGAGGAAGAGAAAAAGCATGGTGAGCATGGCGATGGCGGGGAAGAGGACGAGAAGAGGAGCCAAGACCATGCGGTCAAGGCTGCGGCTCTTGGAGCACGGCGCGGGGTGACTCCAAGACAAGTTTGAAGTAATTTGAAGAAGTGTTTGTGGCCAGCGCGCGAGCACTCTGACCGCACATGAGTATGTATGTAGTGGCGGGATGGTCTGCACACAAGAGCGATGGCGCAAGGGGGCGATGCAACGACAACGCTTGTCAATCCGAGCAGTTCGTGACATGGCAAAGCGGCGTGGGAGCTGCAATCAACGGTGAACAACATGGGAATGACACTGGTCGGACGGGGCACACCTGACCACACCGGATCATACCAGAAGCCAGAGACAGAACCACCATCGAACCTCAGCGCGCCTTTCGTTGGCAAGGCTGCAGCATAGAATATGGCTACGTGGCAGACGTCGGCGCCCGTGGCCGGTTTTTAGCAGGGGGGCCGTCCGCCACGCGGGGGGACGAGGGCGAATATGGAAGATCATGGGGAAGAGGACAGCAGGTGAGGAGCCTGACGATGATCGGGAACAAAAGAGCAACAATATCAGGATGATGCGGAACGAAGGATAATATTGGCAAGCGCGCTGGAGCAGATAGAGAACAGAGCACTCGATGATGCAGCGGTAGATGGCGCGCGTGGGCAGCCCCGCGCGAGCGTGCAGTGGCGAAGGGCGTACATCGGGAAGGAGCGAGCAGCTCGTGGCGGCCATAACAAGCGCCGTCCATCCTCCAGGCCACCCGAGGACGCCAGCAGCAGGGCGAGCAGGGAGGCGGTTTGCAACGTCTTCAGGTGCAGGTTGGACAGCAGCTGGCGGCGGCCCTTCAAAACCTGACAGGGTTGGTGGGCCGCCGTCGCTTCTGCCTCTCCAGCACTTGAGGAGTCTCCCTGGGTGCCTCCAGGCTGGCCAAGGTGGAATGGTCTGAGGCTAGGGGGCCCGCATGACACTCAACAATCGGACCCCCCTGCCCTTTACCCTACGAAGGTGGAAAGGGCAGTCGCGAGGTGGCACGAACCTCCTCTCCCCACCCTCCTCGCCAGGGGGACAGGAGGGTGGCTTCCCCGTCGGCAAGGGAGCTCCGGACCCCTCCCCCCGCCTCGGCCCCGGCTCCGGCTCTGGCCCGGGGCCCAGCCCCAGCCCTTGCCCCAGCTCAGGTCCCAGCGGGAGGCGGCCCTGGCCCCCCGCGTGGCCTCGGCCCTGGCCCCAGCCCCAACGAAGCCCAATAGGTTCCCAAAGAACAAGAAGGGCTCCACAGCATCAGCGTCGTCGCCACCGCCGCCGCCGCCGCCGTCGTCGTCGCCGTCGTCGTCGTCGTCGTCGTCGTCGTCGTCGTCGCCGCCGTCGTCCCACTTCAGGGTCGGCGGCACAAGTCTTAATCTACGACGCGACACTCAAGAAAGCGTCTAACAATCGCACGGATGTAAGTCGCCTTTCCATCATGGGGCTCTCGCTTCAGACTTCCACAAGGTTGATGACCAGGTCTTCGAAATGGCGCACTACTTTCACGGGTGAAAGGATGGTTCCTTGAACTTGATCATCCTACCTCCCAGTCCTCCTGGAGTTGAGCTAGTGGCGCGTGGGTGCTTTGAGAAAAATGTCTCACATGAATGGCTACTGCCGATGCAAGAACATGATGATCGTGGCTGATTGTTAATCTCTTACGTGTGCCCTCATTGCATGGACATTTTACCTCCTCTGCCGTCTCTTCGTATGTATTCCTCCTTGACCTCATTGTATGCCTCTTCCTCTTGACATTCCTCGTTTCATCGCCGACTCCCGGAAAGACCTCGCGGTACAGCGTCTCGGCCTCCTCCTTCCGACCCAAATCGACCTCGGTGTGGGATTGAACAAAGACGAGAAAAAAAGAGCCAAAGGGGAAGAGGGAAGATCGCTCGTAATTGCGGCATCACCTACCCAAACGTGTGACCGAATGGCCCAGCCAGTGACGCCACATAACGCCACATGCGGCGGCATTGCGGCTACTTCGCGATTGTTCGATAGCCACAACATGACCATGCCACGGCCGTATGTATAATTCCCGATGGCCACCTCCGGGCTACTGCATGACTGCGGCATCCCGACTCCGAAGCGATTACATCGGAATCTAAACTATGACAGAAGATACCGCTTCCACACAACAAGCAAAATCCGCATCAAAAACACATATGTAAGCACCCACGGCTGCCGTACTTCCTCGTTGATTTGTAAGCCCCTCAGTCTGGGTCACCGTCGCTTACACTCGAGCTGGTCTCCACATTGCTTTCGAATTGAATGCTAGACAGCGCGCGCCCCAAAACAATGAGTTGTTGCGCGGTGTGTGTAAGCTGTACCGTGTCAGCCAAGTGGTGCAAGCCATGTGTTGCAAGCTATGTAGCTGTGATGCAATTAACGAATTCTCACTACTGAGTTGTCAACTTCACTGCTCGCGCAATCATCCCACTCACCCGCCCGCAACTTGGCTCGCAAAACGCAGGCGGCGGCGACTGTGATATCACCTTGACGCTGGCTGGCGCATCGCTACGGTTGCGCTTGCGCGCGCAAGCTTGCTCGCGCGCAGAGCGGCCGGCTAGACTGGGGCGACTAACGTGGCCGCGGTGGCGCTGACCGCTGGGGACTCCCCATCGCGACTCGACACAAGTGGCGCTGACGCGCGGGCACTTCAGGGTGAGTCGGTGACTCGGGCGGGTTCTTGCGGCACCATGGCGACGTCGACAACGGCAGGCACGGTGATGACAGTAGCGATGCTGGTAACGATGAGGACAATGTCAACGGCAAAGCCAATGACGGCGCCGATGCTGATCACGCCGGTGACACTAATGGTGCCCAGGTGTCGGCGATGAAGGCTGTGGAAGGAGTTCGACATGCGCGCGCGGCCGACGTGCGCGAGTGGCCCTCATGGGATCATTCGACAGGAATCGCAGCCCTCCCACCGTCCCCAGGCAAACGCGCATGGGCGTTCGAATGATTTCGACATTCGCACGCGGGAGGCCCGCTTGGCCAGATTTGCAAAACAGGAAGCGTGAAGCACCTATAGTGTTGGTGAAGATCCGCAAGAGCGCACGCACAGGTTTGTTCAACACCATGAGGCAAACATACTGGGTGTTTACATGTGCTCGGTAATCTCGGCATTGAAGTCCTTGCGAAAGCTGAACATTCGGAGGGATTTCGGCATGCGCGCGCGACGCCGCGCGCGTGTCGAGGTCGTTGCATGTGTTGCACGGGGTTCTTGAAACATTATGTTTCTCGAAGAGAAACGAGTGCGCGCGCATAGCACTGTTTGACAGGGGTGGGAGGGGGACGATAAAGGGTTTGGCTGGGATGGTCTGAACTCAAATCTAAACTGTGCTGTGGGGCAGAATCACATGCAAATCGTATCATCCCAGGGGGAAGCGATAAACCGAGGGGGGGGGTAAATCCTAAGCTCTTCTCGAAAAGGAGAATCTACGTGGCGCAAACTATGTACGTGGTGCAAAATATGTGGCGCAATCTACGCGGTGACGCAGCAACGGGCGCCAACAAGCGACAACGGGCAGCAACGTGGCGAATTCTCGGCAGACCCCCCAAGCGGCAACGAGGCGACAACAGGCAGCAACAGGCGGCTACGTGGCGAATCCTCGGCGGACACCCCAAGCGGCAACGAGGCGCCAACAAGCGGCAACGTGGCGAATCCTCGGTGGATCTATTCAATCTCATAGAGGCGCAAATAAAGACCTCTAAGCGCAAACACTGCTTGGGGAATATAATATACAACCGTTGATGTGCTGCACACCCGTGGCACATGCAAAATGGAAGTCGCAGCTCTATCGGGGTGCTGGGTGGCCTCTCCCGAAACATGGTGGTTATATCTGCAAGACCCCGTCGAGCCACCACGCGCGCTCGAGCATGAGAATCTTCTTTCCCATGCAACGCGCACGAGGGCCACGGATGATCTGTGTGAAAGGTGAACGCGTGCTCTGAGGAGGGTGCAACGGCCAGGGAATTAAATCGAGATTTTTTCTGAGCTATACACACACACATCCTGACTGGTGAAAGTGGGGAGGGAGGGACGCGAAGCAGGGAGCTTGAGCCAGGATGGGAACGGACGGCCCTCTCCTGCTCTGCTTGTCACAAAGAGATTCATCTAAAGATCGAGTTATCTTCTTTCCCATGCTACGCGCACGAGGGCCACGGATTATCTGTGTGAGAGGTGAACGCGTGCTCTGAGGATGGCGCAACGGCCAGGGAACTTAATCGAGATTTATTCTGAGCTATACATATACATCCACATCAAGAAGCAGACCACATTTGCTCTCTTGGCCGGCTGATGCGGCCGAACATATATGTCCCACTAGTGCCTGGTCACCCACAGAGGACCCTCAAATATAAGCACGAAGGTGCGAGAGTGCTGGGCCAGAAAGGCAACCGAGAAGCAATGCACGAGACGCCGACACAGGTTACGACGGTAGGCTTCGGTGATTCTAGTGTAAAACATGCCTAGGGCGTTCTTACCCTCGAGCTGCATATGGGGATGTTCGAACGTGCACACACACTCCGCGGCCCCCGCAATGTTTCACCGCGGGGCCGAGGTCGACATTGACTGCTCTGAATCGGGCACGTTTCTTCCAGGCGGTCCCGCCCATACAATAACCGGTGTATAAGTCATGGGGAGAGGGGAAAGACAGCGACGACGAGGAGGAGGAGAAGGGCAGGGTGACCCCCCACACCGACCTCTGGCCAGGATTCTTGATCACGAGCGGGGCCCCCGACCGACGCGCAAGCTTCAAAAACCCACCACAAAACGAATCGTGGGCGTTCCCAGTCCTGACGGCCCTCTCGTCCCACGGCTTGAGCCCCGGGGGTCCCAAGGGAAAAGACGCGGTCCGAAGGGTCGCGGGCCCGTTGGGCCTGTTGCGAGCAGTGCTGAAACTATTGCACGGGAGACCAATCCACACGGCCCGAAGGGGTCCATCCTGGAGCCTCGAGCGCAAAAACTTTTGGAAACTTCGGCTCGAGAGGTCATGCTCGGGGCCAACCTTAAAATCAAACTCGAAAATCGGGACCCAATCGCAGCGTGGGATGCTGTCGCCAGGCCGAGCTGAGGCGGCCCTAGCCTGAGAACAGTTCGGCGGCGAAGCGTCTGGGGAATTCAAACGCCCTCCACCGTCGGATCAGCTCCGCAGGAGCCACGCGGAAACATTCAGCGCGGCCGTGTTGGCGGCGCGCTGCACAGCCTCTGGAAGCCCATGCAGCAGCTGGTTGACTCGACCTCCCTTCTTGTACCTGATCACCGATCGTTCGGTGAGCCGCCGACCTCGATCCTGGATGTCGCGGAGCCCCCGCGAGCCCGTCATCGCATCGTGGGGGGCCCCGCCGTGCCGCAGCATGTGCAGCGCCGGCAGCGAGTCGCCGACGAGGCCCACCGCGACCGCGGCCGCCTCGAACCCCTTCGCCCACTCGCGGTAGCTGGAGGGGAACACGACCTGGACGCCGCCGCTGCCTCGGAGCCGTGCCAGGAGTCTCTCCAGAAACGCGAACTCCTCGACGTTGTCTACCAACGCGGTCTCGTCGCGGGCGCCCGTCTTGGACGTGATGGCGAGCTCCTGGGGGTGTAGGATCACGCTCCACTTGAGTCCACGCTGACGTGACTGACGAGGGGGCGGCACCAGCAATGGATGAAGGCGAAGACGACGGCGGCGGCCATGCGCCAGCCCCCCTCCTCCGCGAGCCGCCGCGCCACCAGGCAAGCCGCGGCCCGCGGCAGCGGCAGCCGCGCCTGCGGCGGGTCGAGGCGGGAGAAGCCCCAGCGGGCCAGCTGCACTCGAGCAAACTTCGAGCAGCCGGGCCCGCTCTCTGGGCGGAAGTACGCCACCGCCGCCACCATCATGGACGCCGTGTTCGACCTCCACCCGTCGTAGAACATCTGGCTGAGCATCTCCACCAGCGCCTCCTCCAGGTCGTTCACGCGGCTCGTCTTGAGCCGCTGCTGCATCGCCCACTCCGCGAACCTGCCGCGCTGGTCGCGGCGCTCGCTCTCCTGTCGTGCGGACGCAGACCGGCGCTCCAGGACCGCCCGCCAGCGCCGGGTGACCCTCGGCCGCGGCGCGGGCGGGTGGGCTGCCCGACGGGCTGCCCCGCGCGCCTCCCGCCCCGGGCCGACCTCGCGGACCGCCCGCGCCTGGTGGGGCGGCCGCGGCCGCCGCGCCCCGGCGCCTGGGAACACGTCCGTGGAAGCGTAGGTCCCCAGCAAGGTCGTCGCGGTCGTCGTCAACGCCGTGCCCGCGGACGAGGTCCACGGCCTCCTGCCAGGGCGGCTCCCCGAGAGGAAAGCGTCTGCTACCCGCCGAGCGCCCGTCCCGCGCGCCAGCGCGTGAGCCGCGGCCAGGCGGCGACGCGGCCGCGGCCCTCGAGCTCCTGCCTCCAGCCACGCTGGGTACAGGTTGGCGGCCAGCACGAGGGCGGCGGACCGCCGGAGAGTTCGGCAAAGCCCGAAGGAGGAGCCCCAGCCCTTGGTCCGTGGAAGGATGGCGGTCATGGCAACTCCGAGGACGAGGTGGCGCCTCCGGTGAGACGACGACGTACTGGCCAGGTGATTGAGAGTCCAAGTCGCCGAGCGAGATTCGGAGGTGAACTTGGTGATCTCCAGAGCTCCATCGGAAAGAAGCAACCCGGCACCAGTCTCCCCCCCCCAGACGTGCTCTGGAACAGGAGGTATCCGATCGAACCCACTATCATCTCCCCGATGAAGGTCGCCCCGACGATCATGACATACTTCTTGCTCCCCCGACTTCGAGAATCGCCACCTATCGTTATACGAGCCGATGGTTTGCACCTCCCTCGCGTCGATCGTCTTAC